TCCCCGCTTCCTTCTTCCTTCCCTTCCTTTTGAACCGAACGGGGGTGGATGGGGGCTTTCCCTTCGGGGGGGATTTCGCCTGGCGGCACGGGGGCGGTAAAAAAAGGGAACGTTTTCCCGGGGGGGGCCAATCCCCCCGGGGGGGGAAACCCCCCCCCCCCTTGGGGATTCCGCCTTTTGACCCGCACACGCTTCCCTTTGGGCGGGTTTGAAGCTTCCCCCCCCCCCCCCCCCACCGCCGCCAGTGCGCCAAGCACCCCCCCCCCCCCCTCCCCTCGCTCTCGCCCGTTTCGCAGGGTGGCGGCGCCCCCGCCGGCACGCTGCTGACGGTGCTCACTGCGCTCGGCTCGAACGCGCTGGGCCTCGCGAAGGGGTACGCCGCCTTCGCACGCAGCAACGACGAGAGCGCGGCGCTGTGGCCTGTCCTCCGCTCGATGCTCGGCTCGCTCTCTCTCGGCTGGTCGCCGCAGGCGGGATGCTTCACACTCGCGCACTTCATGTTTTGGCGCGGGCGGCCCGCCGGCCCCGCCCCCCTCCCTCGCCCAAGCCACTCGCCCCCGACCCGCCCCTCCTCTTCGCCGAGGCAGGTGCAACGTGCCGGTCGTCCACCGCTCCTTTGGCGCGCGCGGCGCCAACCCGCTCCGCTTCCGCGACCGCGAGCAGCTTCCGATGCCGGCTGCGTGGTGGAACCTGTGGCACCTGCTGCCCGCCCTCGGCCTCTACGCGGCGATCGGCCTCGCCCTCCCCCTCTTCTACCTCGCCGCCCTCCTCCCGCCGCTGCGCGCCGCCGCCGAGCGCCGGCTCGCGGCCTACTCGTACCAGGGCGACGCCTCCTCCTCCTTCGCGGTCCTCACCCGCGCCTCGTGCGGCAAGCGCGCCGTCGACGTCACCTTTGCGTGCCCGGGCGACCCGGGCATCTACGGCACCGCGCTGCTCGCCGCCGAGTGCTCGCTCGGCCTCGTCGACGCCACCCGGCGCGGCGCGCTCGCGCCCGGCTTCACGACGCCGGCGATCGCCCTCGGCGACGCGCTCGTCGATCGGCTGCGAGCCGCTGGCTGCACCATCGAGGCTAAGGCCACGCAGCCGTGAGGCAGGACTCACTGCGGGGTTCAGTTCCGGCGCTCGGTTTTTGGGTCTCTTTCCTGTGGTTGGTCTGAGAGTGTTTTGCTTTTGGTCTGCTGTGTGTGTGGTTTATATTAGCGTAGGACAAAAAAGTGAAACGCGTGTCGGGCAGTGCTTGCCACTTACTGGTATAGCCCACCAGAACAATCAAACACTCTACGGCCAAAAACAATCAAACGGTGGTAAGATTTACCACGACTTCTGCGAGGCAAAATCTGGGCGCTGAGCCGAGTCCTGAGGCTGGTTTGGCTTTGGGCCCAAAATCAGCCAAATTTTAGGCCAAATCGGCAAAATGCCGGGAATTTTGCGGAGAACCCGTGTATACCTGGAACTTACCCTGCGACCGCCTGGCTGGGTATTTTGTCGATTTCCTCAATTTTGCCTCAGATTTTGCCCCAGACCAGCTCTCAGTACTCAGACTCAGGGAAACTCGCGAGTTACTTTCCAGAATGGAGCACCAAACACCCTCTGTTTTCCCTGGAAATTTCCGGAAACGCAAAGTGCTGGGGACCCTGTGTTTTCCTTTTTGTTTTCCGGAAAACCTGCTCTAGCCCAAGTCCAGACGTTGCAGAGCATCCGGCAGGCGCGCAGCGACCCAAATTTTTGCTCACCGCACGGCCGTGCGAGCCGGTGGTGATGGTCGGCGTCGGCGCGCGCCGAGAGAGAGAGAGAGAAGTCGCGTTGTCCCGGTAAGAAAAAGAAATCGATCGCCATGGCTGGCCCTCGTGTTCGAGCGTTGGACGCGCCGCTCCTCGGCCAGCGCGTCGTGCTCGGCGGACTCTCGGCCCGCCCCGAGCTGAACGGGCGGTGGGGCGTGGCGCAGAGCTTCGAGGGCGGGCGGTACGCGGTGGCGCTCGAGGGCGGCGGCGAGAGCGTGCGGGTGCGGCCGGGTAATCTGTCGCCGGGTGCGGCGGCTGAGCCGAGCGGTGCCGCGGCAGCCCCCGACGCGGTTGTGACAGCGGCTCAGCGAGGTGAGGAGGAGGCGGTGCTGGCGTGGCTTGACGGTGGCGGGCGGGCCGACGCGACGTACGAGAGAGGCGAGACTAGCGGCCTCACGCTGCTGATGTTCGCCGCCCGCAGCGGCCACGAGCGGGTGGTCGAGTTGCTGCTGCAGCACGGCGCGGGGATCAACAAGCAGAGCAGCCACGGCGACACCGCGCTGATGCTCGCCGCCCAAGGGGGCCACGAGCGGGTGGTCGAGCTGCTGCTGCAGCACGGCGTGGAGATCAACAAGCAGAACGGCAAAGGCGTCACCGCGCTGATGCTCGCCGCCCAAGGGGGCCACGAGCGGATGGTCGAGCTGCTGCTGCAGCGCGGCGCGGGGATCAACAAGCAGAGCAGCCACGGCGACACCGCGCTGATGCTAGCCGCCCACCAAGGCCACGAGCGGTTGATCGACTTGCTGCTGCAGCGCGGCGCTGAGGTCAACCTGCAGAAAAGCGACGGCTTCACCGCGCTGATGAACGCCGCCAATGAAGGCCACGAGCGGGTGGTCGACTTGCTGATTCGGCACGGCGCGGAGGTCAACCTGCAGAATAGCAAAGGCAACACCGCGCTGATGCACGCCGCCCACCAAGGCCACGAGCAGTTGGTCGAGCTGCTGATACGGCGCGGCGCGGAGGTCAACCTGCAGAATAGCAAAGGCAACACCGCGCTGATGAACGCCGCCAATGAAGGCCACGAGCGGGTGGTCGACTTGCTGATACGGCGCGGCGCTGAGGTCAACCTGCAGGACAGCGGCGCCACCGCGCTGATGATCGCCGCCTTCTTCAACCACCCCGCCGTCGTGCGGCGCTTGCTGCGGGCGGGCGCAGACACCGCGGCGCGCGTTGCGAGCGGCAAGACGGCGCTGCAGCTGGCGAAGGAGAAGGGCCACGCCGCGTGCGTCAAGATCTTGACTGAGGCAGCGGCGGCGGTTGCGGAGGGCCGAGTAGGGGCCGACTGCGCTTCCTCGGGCGCAGCAGCGGCAGCTGTGGACGCGCCGCTGCTTGGGCAGCGAGTCGTGCTCGGCGGGCTCTCTTCCCATGCCGAGCTGAACGGGCAGCGGGGCTTGGCGCGGAGCTTCGAGGGCGGGCGGTACGCTGTGGCGCTCGAGGGCGGCGGCGAGAGCGTGCGGGTGCGGCCGGGCAATCTGTCGCTGGCGGCGGCGGAGCCGGTGTCAGGCGGTGCCGCGGCAGTCTCCGATGCGGTTGTGACAGCGGCTGGGCGAGGCGAGGAGGAGGCGGTGCTGGCGTGGCTTGACGGTGGCGGGCGGGCCGACGCGACGTACGAGAGAGGCGAGATGAGCGGCCTCACAATGCTGATGGGCGCCGCCGCCAACGGCCACCAGCGGGTGGTCGAGTTGCTGCTGCAGCACGACGCAGGGATCAACCTGCAGAACTGCGAAGGCGGCACCGCGCTGATGCTAGCCGCCTGCAACGGCCACGAGCGGGTGGTCGAGCTGCTGCTGCAGCATGGCGCGGAGATCAACCTGCAGAGCAGCAAAGGCAACACCGCGCTGATGCTCGCCGCCCAGGAAGGCCACGAACGGGTGGTCGACTTGCTGATACGGCGCGGCGCGGAGGTCAACTTGCGGGACAGCGTTGGCGGCACCGCGCTGATGGGCGCCGCCTTCTTCAACCACACCGCCGTCGTGCGGCGCTTTCTGCGGGCGGGCGCAGACGCTGCGGCGCGCAATGCGAGCGGCAAGACGGCGCTTTGGTGGGCCAAGGAGGAGGGCCACGCCGAGTGCGCGCGCGCCCTCGAGGAGCACTCGTCGACCACAGCAGAGGCGGAGGGGGAGACGGCGGTCGCAGAATCAGCCGAACAGGCCGCGGCGGCCGCACGCGAGGTGGCAGCGGCTGCGGAGGCGGCGGAGGCGCGCGATGCTGCCGAGGCGGCGCTACGCGAGGCGGTTGAGGCGTGCGAGCGAGGCGACGTCGATCTCGAGGCGCTCAGGGCGGCGATCAACGCGAACACCGACGCCGCCGACGGCTCGGAGGCGCTGCGGGCGGCGCGGCGGCTGCGCGACGATCTGGCGGAGCGCAGGACCCGCGAGGCCAGGGCGCTGAAGCGGCAGCGGCAGAAGGAGGAGAAGGCGGCGGCGAGGCAGGCGGCGGCGGCAGCGAGGGCGGCGGAGGAGGCGGATGCGGCGGCGCGGGCGGCGGAGGAGGCGGAGGCCGCGTCGCGGGCGAGGGAGGAGGCAGAGGCGAGGGCAAGGGAGGAGACTGCAAGGGAGAGGGAAGAGGCGAGGATGAGGGCGGCAGCGGAGGCGGCGGAGGTGGCGGCGGCGGAGGCGGAGGCGGAGGCGGCGGCTGTAGAGGCGGCAGTGGCGGCCGTGGCGGCGGCGGAGGCTCGAGAGGCAGCGGAGGCGGAGGCAGCGGCGGCTGAGGCGGCGGAGGCGGAGGCGGCGGAGGCGGCGGCGAGTGTCGCCGCCCTCGCCGCCGCTGCCGCGCCGCCCGCCGCCGTCCCTCTCGACGAGCTCATCGCGGCGACCGACGGCTTTTCTGAGGCGTGCAAGGTGGGCGAGGGAGGCTTTGGGCGCGTCTACCGCGCCGACGCGCTGCCGTCGCTTCCGCGCGTCGCTTGCGGGTTCGCGGTCAAGACGGCGCTGGTCGGTGTCGGCGCCCAAGGCCTCGCCGAGCTGCAGAGCGAGGTGCGCACGCTCAGCGCGGCGTGCCACCCGTCCCTGCTCCCTCTGCTCGGCGTCTGCTTGGCACAGGCGAGAGCGTGCCTCGTCTACCCCCTCTGCTGCGGCGGCAGCCTCGAGGACCGCCTCTACCGCTCGCCAGCCGCGCTGCAGCGGCTCCGCATGCTCGGCTTCGAGACGGCGCCCCCGCCGCTCTCCTCCGCCGCACGGCTCCGCGTGCTGCGCGACGCCGCGAGCGCGCTGCACTACTTGCACACGCTCTCGCCCATGATCTTGCACCGCGACGTCTCGGCGGGCAACATCCTGCTCGACGAGCGCGGCAACGGCTACCTCGCTGACGTGGGCTTCGCGCGCGCGGCAGAGGCGACGGCCGGCGGACAGGTCTCGCACCTGTCGACGCAGCGCATCTTTGGCAAGCCTGGGTACATGGACCCGATCATCCTCAACGACGGCCAGGCTTCGCAACTCACCGACGGCTTTGCGCTCGGCATCACGCTGCTCGTCGCCCTGACCGGCCGCGGCGCTCTTGGCTTGCTCAGTGCGTGCGACGATGCGCTGGAGGAGCCCGACACGGCGGAGAGCATCGCGGTGGCCGACGCGGGCTGGTCGGCGGTGCAGGCCGAGGAGCTGGCGCGGCTCGTGGTCGGGCTGGCGTTCGTTCGGAAGAAGAAGCGGATGCCGCTCGCAGAGGCGCTGCCGCGGCTGGAGGCGCTAGTCGAAGCGGCCGGGGAGGTGGAGGAGACGGCTGGGACCGAGGAGCGCCAGTGTGACCTCTGCTACGACGCGCCTCGCTCGGTTCGCTTCGCGTGCGGCCACGCGCTGTACTGCGAGGCATGTGCGCCGCGCGTGCTGGAGCGCGACACCAACTGCCCGGCTTGCCGCCGTCCGGCGCTGCCGATCGTCGACACTGGAGCAGGCGTGGCGGCGCAGACGACCTTTGTCTACCAGTCTCCTCGCGCGGTGCCGAACCCTCCGCCGGCCGGCGGCGCTGTGCCGGCAGTCGGTAGGCGCGGACGCGGCGGGCGCGGTGGGCGGGGCGGGCGGGGCGGGCGGGGCGTGGGGCGGGTCGGTTGGTAAACCTAGAGAAAGCGCCACAATTGCGTGTGTACAATGTCCCCTAATACCCCACCTTGCAACGGTCATGCCGGTCGTCTTTGCTGCCTTGTTGATCACTCCTGTCGCTTTCGCTGCCTCGCTAGTCACGCCGACTCTTACCACGCCGACTCGGCGACACTGCCAGCCGGACGCTCCCCACCGGCTATTCTCTCGCTCGACTCCGGCTTTCGCTTCTGCCCGGACCTCCGGCGGAGCGTGCCGCTCCGCTGGCTGAGATTGCCGAGTTTGAGGCGCTAGCACTCGCGCTTCCTCGTTTTTACAACGGGCAGGAGTCGCCGCAGCAGTACAAGAGAACGCTGCTGGCCGCCGCTGATGCTTCGCCACCCGTGTATCGGCCAGTATGACCGAGCCGCAGCTCCAGCGAGCCTTTGTGGTGCTCTCGTTTCTCGTCCATTGCTACGTCTGGTGCGAAGACGGCGCGGCAGAGCAGGTGCTGCCGCGCACGATCGCCGCGCCGTACTGGCACGTCGCCAAGGCGCTTGGCTGCGAGCCAGTCTACACTGACGCAGTCATCATGTGGAATATGGTTGGAGCTGGCGGCGACAGCACGGCCGACCCAGACCTCGAGGAGCCCTTCCTGCGAGAGCAGCGCCGCCTCATGCCCGCCTCGCAGCGCCGCTTCGTCGAGCGCTTCACGGCCGAGCCCGCCGTCAGCCTCCGCGCCTTCTTCGACGCGCACCCCGCCCTCGACCGCGGGCCGTACACGCGCGCGGTCGCGTCGCTGCGTGCGTGGCGGCGCGAGCACATCTCGCTCGCCGGGATGTACCTCGTCTCGTTTGCCCGCGAGTTGGAGGGCGATCCGGCGCGCGGGCCGCCAAGCAAGAGCCCGCTGCACGTCAAGGGCACCGGCGGCTCCTCTCTTCGCACACTTCTACTCGATGGCGGCTCGCCGACTCTCCCAGGCGCACCTCCTCCCTCCTCCGACCCTCCTCCTCTCCTCCCTACTCCTCTCCTCCTCCCCTCCTC